CCCCCCCCCCCCCCCCCCGCCCCTAAAAATAATCACTGTAATTTGTATACGTCCTACCTTTCTTTTACGCAATTTCACTTGATTGTCTGCAGGTTCATGAGTGGCCAGATCACCCTGAAAATGTAAACACTGGATGTCTTCCACTGGAGTGACATTTGTAAGATTTTTTTTTTCAGGGCCCATTTGAGGTTCTGTGAGAACACATTCATCCAAGTCCTTATCCATTGGCATGATATGCGACCAAGGAGAAGACTGCACAAGGTAATCCTTGGGTGCAGCTTTTGAGAATGGTTGTCTGCCACTGCCAGAACATGGACCAGGGGAAAGCTTATCCTGTACCACAGTGTTGTCAGTTTTTCCAAGCCCATCTTTAGAAGCATCAGATTTCCTACGCTGTTGTGCAATTACAGCAGTATGAAGCAGCTGTTTCCCAGGCACAGTAATTTCCTTCACATTCAGAGAATGAGAGATGTTTTCTCTTGGTACACCTTCATGTAATACTTCACACAACCCTTTACAATTACAAAGCACCAGGCTTTTCCCAATACTACTGGAAATCTCCTCCTCCTCCATTTTTTCTTGGGAAATGGTGGCATAGTCGAGCTCATTAATGACTTCTATTGTTCCAGACACATTAGATTCCTTGTTTATTTCCATTTTTGGTACCATCGTTGTTAAGGAGCCAGCTCCTCTTAAACTTTTTTCTTCGTCTTTTGATTTCTGTTCAGTACAAGTGATGTGGTGGTTAATTTTACCCAAACTAAGATCTGAATAATCATCATCTTCATCAGAAACATGGACCAAAGTTTCTGTACTGGCCTCCAGAAAGTGCTCCTCATCTTCATGGTTGTCATTTTCATCCACTTCTTTCGAATTATTGCTAAGCAGCTTTGCTGGGAAGCCAATCAGCTCTCCACTATGACAGCAGTCTGGTAACGAAGCAGATTTTTCTTTCCGGCTAGCACTCAAAACTTCATCTTTTTCCATACTTGCCTGCAAGTTATCAACTACAAGTCCATGACGGCATGCTGTATTATATTCAACAGGAGAAAAAGCCAGTCCCATCCATTGGGTCACATGTTCCTCCCAGCTTCTCTTTCTGATTGCTAGAGACATGTCATAATAGTTCAACAACAGGCTGTGAGATACATTCCATACAGGACCAGAGGAGATGACATGGCTGCAATGTGCTGCTCCAAAATGGGAGAGATTTTCATCATGCTAACATCTGTAAGAAATAAAAATAGAATAAGCTGATTCAAATTCAAAGTAAAAAGGAAGGGTAGGGATAGTTTAAATGAAAATGTAAAAGCAAATGTATAGAGCATGGGATCGAAAGGGAGGAATTTAAAAATATTATTTTGTTTAATAGCTGTAGTAGTATCATACAAACTTGACATTAAGCATACTTTAACATAACTTTCTTTCTGATTACTCTCCAAAAATCAAGTAAATAAAAATGTTATAAACATGCTTATGAATAGGCAACTGGATCTACAAGCCAGATTTTGACAATAAGTCTCTTCACTATTTCTGTCATGAAATATCCATTTTCATGGATATCAACATTATCAAATCTTGTGACTCCATCACACACAAAATTAGTTTGTGTTAGTTCTTCGTGCAATGAAACCCATAAAGTACAGTTTTCAGGTTGTTGTCTAAAGAGTTGGGTCTGTACCTAAGGACTAGTAAAGGGATGTTCGTACATGTCCTCCTAACCTTGTATCTGGTTAGCTATGAGAAATGCCAACATTCAAAGAGTTAATGGGTGTTTTTACACATGCTTTGTGGTGGGTGGGAGGACATTTTAACTAGGGTGGCTCCCAGGGACATTTTAACTAGAAAGGCCACTCTAATTAAAATGCCCAAAGCATCTTGTGCTTTCAGCATCCCGAATTTCCAAATGATGGCAGGGATGCTTTAACTGAAGCTTGCTAAATGAGCTTTTTTTAAACCACCATTTTGAAACACAGGGATGTTGAATAAATGAGATGCTGCAGCATGCTGCAGCTTTCTGATCATGACACTCCCGCAGACTCCATCTGCGTTCTAATCAGAACGCATTGGAACACATGTATAGGTGCCCAATATGTGTCTTACTCCCGTTACTTTTAAATACAAGTGTGCAGAGAACAGAGAATTTGAGGATTAATTAATAAGTTGAAAAGGTTATACAATAGTTATGTCGCTACATTTTGATTTGCTCAGGTCAGAAAGTATCCCTGCTTAACTTGGTAAGGCTAGTCATATAAGTAATTAATTCCTAATGCAATTAAGGGCCCACAACTGTGCCTTATTTATGGCAGTTTAAAAGTTAATGTTTCAGATATATTTATTGAATTACTTTGACATTTAAATACATAAACCATTAGACAAAAATAAAATACAGATATTTAAATTATGCATTACAAAGAAAGTCAGAACAACAAGTTCTTTATCAAATAATGAACCCCCGCCCCAACAAAATAAAAACAAAAAAACCCAACTGGCCTGTAACAAATTACAGGTTCAAGGAGCAGACACTTCTACTTTTCACTCCCTACATAAGAACTGTCAACACTTAGCATGGATCTGCTTATTGATTTCAGCAATAAAGAAGATTAACTACTAAGTTTGTTCTGGGTCATTTCAGTCCACTACAGCAAGTCCTGATTGCCCACTAGGCCTTTAAACTGCCCTGACAAATCACATGCCTGAAGGCATAGAAGTAGGAAGCTTGAAAGAAAAGCAGAATTATGACTGTGCATTTTCATAAATTATGCCCTTAGTGACTTTTAGAAAAAAGTTGTGGATAATCTGAAATCTTTAACCTCCATTTAGGACAGCCAGCTTTATTTCTCGTTCACATTTTCCAACTCTGTGGAGTTTGTGCTTAAAAAGAAAATATAGTCATAGGAAACAAAATTCCAGACACAAGTCATTAGAGTGTGGGAGGCTGAGGAAAACGGAAAATAACACATAGCACTGGGCCAAAAACAAAAAACCCAAAGAATAACCAAAAAAAAATATGACACCCAAAAACCCTTTCACAGGCAAACTTTGGTAGTAAGACAGTGATTCTGCTTCAGGATTCTCCCTTTTCCTATACTAAGTTTTAAAATGCAAAGTAGATTAATTACATAAATGTTCAATGCCTTGAAGTTCTATTTCACATGTACTTCTTATTATGCCTAAGTGTTTATTCCCCCTCCACACGCCGCAAATCTTTAGAGGTTGGAAATAAAGGAAGAGAAGTGTTTAGGTCTGCAACATTTTTATCCAGGGATCCCAAAGCATTTTAGAAACAATTGTGTTAGCATTACAAGATCGCTGCATTTTACTTTGACTAGCACAGATGTGCAATCAAAGGTCAGAAAAGGGTAAGCAGTTTTCCAAGGTCTGTGAAAGAATCAAGGCAAGAACACAGGGATTTTTAGTGTAAAGCACTAGACTGCCCAAATTCCAAGTGATCTCTATACAGGTCCTCCTAAGCATTCTTTTGGTAGGCTGTCTAAGGGTTAATAGCTGTGTGTTACTTCCACTACTGTTAAATGGAGTTACATGTGTGCTGAGAGGGGAGAACAGATCTCTTACTGTTTTTCATTTTTGGATGTGGAGGGTTATATTTCATGGGGGATGAAAAACAAATAAATCTCACTTTAGGAACCCTTCTGTTTTACTTGTGATATCACACTAGCTTTGGCTGTCTGCTGGCGAGCAGATGAATGATTAAACAGGAGAATATTGAATGCTTTGCTTGAAATGCAAGACAAATAAATAAATGACAAGGGAACTTACATTGTTCTCTAAAATAAAATAATTAAAGAGCCATCTTCTAACCACATCCATGCTGAAAAAAAATCTTTGGACAAAGATTTTCTTCTTGTAAAATGAATGATTAACTGGACCTACTGAAAGACTGACCATGTCAACTGTAAATGTATATGGTTATTATAATCATGTTTTGCTCTTAGTTTGAAAAGTATTCTCCTCTCACCTACTAAAAAGTGACATGAGAAAAACTTTTCTTTGACTTTTGGGAGGAGCAGCAGTAGTGCAACAAGGGGTGTGCTTAGAGGGAGCACAAGAATGGCAGCCACCATCACTGCTGCCGCCCCCTGCCCCTGCCTCTGCCGCCTCTGCCATTCAGGGCGAAGACCCTGTTTGTTATATTTTTGAAGAGCAGAATGAAATTTGCCAACATGGTCAGTAGTTAGTCAGAGAATTTTCTTCCTCCCCACTCTCCATGTTCTCTTTTCAGACAGGGACCTGCGAGCTCAGTGGAAGCCCAATTACCCCTTGTGGTAATGGTCTGGATTGTCCACCAAAATATGGCCCATAAGAAAATGGTTTCCTCTCTAGTCCTCTGACCGCTGTTAGGGGAACAGTCCTTCCTTTTCTTCTATTCTATTCTTCTACTCTATTCAGAAGCCATTATTTCCTACTATATCCCACCCAACATTTCAGAGGAGGACCTCTTGCTTCTAAACCTTTGAATATGATTTTCGGTAGGGCTATGCAAAACACCATCATTTAGTTTTGACGTCCATTTCACCATTTTGAAGGGACAGTGTTTTGTTTCATCATTTTGTTTTGTTTTGAAGCACTGTCCCATTTCATTTAGTTGAAACTGTTTTGCTGTTTCAACACGGTTCGACATTTCACCCGTAGGCTATAATGGGGAATCATGAAAATGCCTACAACTTTGTCATTGCTTGCCTGATTTGGATTAAAATTACAGGGATGGTAGCCCCTTTCAAGGACATGAATCCTGCCAAGTTTCAAGGAGATAGATGTAGAGGTTTCTGGGAAACTGCACCTCAAACTGTTCAAAACACAACCCCTGACACCTGCTAACAGTGGCAGCCTCCTCTTATCTGGCACACAAATCTGGGGGTCTGTATCCCTGGGAGAGCTTCGGGGCTGTGTCAGACTCCTCCCAGGGGTGCAGGCCTCTGGATCTGTGTGCTGGATGAAGGGAGGCTGCTGCCGCCACCTGGGACCGGCACTGAAGCCAAGTAAGCCTGCCTTTGAATTACGAAATGTTTTGTAACTTTCAAAATGTTTTGACTGTCCTTGTTTTGTTTCAAAGCTGTTTTGAAGCCCTTTGTTTCATTTTGATTTTACTGTTTTGAGTTCAAAACGCATCGAAACATCTTCAAAACGAAACACCTGGCAAAATTTTGCACAGCCCTGATTCTCAGCTCCTCACTCATCTTTGAAGAGTGACCTTTCATTTCCATAACCACCCCTTTTCTTCCAATCTCCCCTGCTGCTTAAAGGAGACTCTTTATTCTGTTAATGTAAATATTTAAAATGCTTTAGTTGCAAGAGTACTGGAGTCCTCTTTTCTGTGAGGGGAGCTTCTTTCTTAATCTCTTTTGCTCAACCTTGGTTCCCCGACTAAGAGGAGAAAAACTTTCCATTGTCCCTTTTTACAATGATCACCACCACCACCAAAATAGACCCATATTTCCGCTGCTTGCAGCTTTCCCATGAAGCAAGAGAAAAAATATTAAATTCAGCTCATTTCCAGTTCTGATGCCTGGATTAGTTTTGTAAGACATCCATGGTCACTAACAAACATCAGGCCTTCATGTTCTTTATGGTTATGAGAGAACCGAATCCAGACTCTCTTTTCCAAAGATGCTTATTCCTATCACTTAAAGAAGGGAGAATCTCTGTTTGCTATCATCAAATAGGACCAGTTTTAGTGAGGGAAGTCAACTAAGCTTTTAAGGCACTGACTGTTAGGAAAAGGAAGAGAAAGAATGCAAGAATTCTTGTTGCTTTATCTGAGCACCTCCGTGGAATTTATCAGACTTGTCAGTTTTGGAGGTCCTTCAAAGGGTAAAGGAAATGTCAGCAAAATACACTGACTAGTATGGCTGATTTAAATTTAAGCTTCATTTGGACATATGGTTGTGTGTGTGTAAGTACATGCATGTGTGTGTGTGTGGAAAGTGTCAATTTTAATTGATTTCTTAATTTTTTTTGTCAGAAAACTTAGTATCTGAAAAACTGAAAACTTCAACATGTTCATCTTTTGGGTATGAGTAGTTCATAGCCAAACATCACCAAAATTAAACAATTACATTTTTTTACATTTTTCAAGAACTCTAAATTAGATTTTTTATCTCTCATTTTTTTTTTTTTTTTTTGCAGAAAAAAATTATTTTTG